CGGACACCAGACCGGATATCGAACGACTGAGAGGGATTGTTGTGGACCAGGACTCGAGCGGTGGTGCACCGATAGTATGCCTTAATCATGGCAATGAGTTTGGTCGGCACTCCATCCAGTTTTATTTTTCGCCACAGGGATTCAGGATGGATGAAATCGAATGCGGCGGCTAAGTCGACAAAGCAAACGGCCATCGGTTGCTGGTAGCTAAGGTGGAATTCTAGAATGCGCCTCAGTGTGAATATCTGATCCGCACATCCACGCCCAGCGCGGAATCTGGTTTGGTTGGGTCGTGTCCTGGAGGCACGTACAAAAAACACAAGAAGACCGCAAATGGGAGAAATTGGTTAGTAGTGGGGCAGGCATCCGCAACTTCTAGCGCTGACCCTCTCCCTCTCTTCCTCCGCTCACCTTGCCCACGGAGGAGGGCATAACTACCGTGGTCGGCAAAGAATAACTGTCCGTCTACACGTACCACACACGCGACCTGGTCCTGATCCCACAAGGGCAAGACTAGTACAACAGGAGGGCGAAACTCTATCAATAAACGTATCAAGTAAAGAGGGCAATAATGTGACAAGGCAGGCGCGAGGGGGGGGAGCAGTTTTAAATGTTAGAAGAACTGAATGACCTACAGCAAGGGTACTGGCCAACATGTTAAACTTGTCCACTGCCGGCGGTATGGAGGCCTCAATGCGAGCCAACTCGATTGAAAAGGACTTAAGTTCGTCTTCCAGAAGTTGTTTTCTTTGTTGTTGCTGCTGGCAGCGCTCTACGAGACTTCGGTGTTTTTGCACGAGACTGCCGAATCTAAAAGGGAAGGTTTTCATTCAAAAACGAAGGGCCGGCCATATGACGACTATGCTTGGGTATGTGACTGGGTGACTAAATACAATAGTTATGGCCCGCTTCAAGCGAACATATTCATGGGCAAACTGGAAGCCTCGCAACTTCTTCACCAGAAAAATTACCTGACGTGGACGATATATTCGCGGTTGCATTTGAACAAACTAACATTTCAATTCTGATATATACCGTAAAATTTATGCTAGAAGAAAAGTCTGGATCGCTCTCAGTTTTCGACGTATTTCTGAGAAAAGAGTCTGGGTATGAGTATTCAACATAGTGCTTATCGTAAGAATACGTGATCCAGGCAATATTACCATTTTGGGAGTTTCGCAGCGTTGTTTGACAAAGGAGGAAAATGATCTGCTCGACCGACAGCATCGAGGAGCCTGAGATTTTAGAAGGCGTTTTTCGATAAAATGGGTATCCCAGCCAATTTTTTGCTAAGAACGTGGCTGAAACACAGCCAAAGCCCTCGGTGCTAACAGCAGAGAAGAAATGAATTCTTATTAGGGTCCCATTTCCAGGGGACGCGTGAAGCGAACCTCTAAGAAGGCTGTATCGAACATTTTTACAGCAACCGACGCCCATGTACTATTCTTGACTACTCCCATCCTAAAAGGGTGATAAAGGACAAAATACCGGCTCAGAACGCCTCTATGTGCACCTATTCATTTACCTGCTCCTGTATGACAGAATAAAATGGTCGCATGAGCATGCGATATGGCAAAAGAATACCAAAAAAATCTTCCAGTATGGTTAAGGAAGGGTCAAATAAAGAGTATTAACAGCTCAATTATAGCACACGCGGTAGCCATAGATCATCGCGTGGATGCCAGAGAGGCTCTCCGAGTGATCTGCTAGGTGCCCTCGAACTATTTAAAATTCGGCAAGAGTTTCCTTGGTAGCAACGAATGTTCTTATTTATATTTACATGCCTACTCAATTAATTTCAGTTGGGGTTAGGGTTAGGGTGGGATAATGATATCGTATGCAAAAAAACCCTAAGTTTCTGTCTTACGTGAAGCGTGGGTGTAGGCATGTAAATATAAATAAGAATATTCGTTGCTACCCAGGAAACTCCTGCCTAAAATTTCTTGATCAGCTTCTGTTGGCTACAGCAGAACAGGCTGCCATCAGGTTATACAAACCGGTCTTGCGCGCACAAAAGAACTTCGTAAAGGCGCCGCAGTTACCATGGCCGAAAGTCGCCAAATCAACCGCACGTAGCATATTACCTTTCCCGGCCCAGTTTTTTCTGACGCTCACCATATTGGTGACCCCAAGCTTGTCCCTCATCGACTCTGAAAACCGCACGATTTTTTTCTACGAACCCGCAGTTTCCTTACTGAATTACAACATAAATGTACAGTCCTGATGAGAATTTATCGAAAGCAAACGTATGTTTGCCAGTTTATTTTTTGAATTCTTCAAAGGGTTTTTTGGCAACATAACAGGCTCCGTTCCGTTTTTATGAGAATAACGATTGAGCTGGATTATTAAGATCCCAAGAAGGTTTTTTAGTCATAAGTTCATAAAATTGCTGATTTTCGTGGAGGGACGACCTGATTTAGAAATATGGAAATATATAAAGCGAGAAGAGCATACTTCGAGTTCTGGGAAGCTACCAGGGCCTCCAATTCATCAACAGTGCCTTGAACGGCGGTCTTCTTTGAAGTTACCTCCGCTAGCCGCGCGGAAGCCGCCTTTGCCGCTTGCTGGGATAGAGGAAAACAGAAAAATTGAGGACAGACCGAAGGGAGACACTACCTGCAACAATAGCTCGAAATTATTGAGTAAAATCGAGAGACGCGTTACTATTCAACCCAGGCAGTCACTGGCAAGTACAGGCACCGACTGAGGAAACAGTCGTCCAGACTAATTTGTTCAATCTTAACTTTACAGCGCTGGTCCAGCGAATACGACGAAGGAAGCAGGTAAGTCGCCCTCATTATCATGCAACTGAAAATCCCGAGGGTATAGGACAGTTTTAGACCTATGCAGGCTTGAATAAGAACAAACACTGATTTTTGCTACTATTTAAGTGGCCTGGAGTTCTTGTAACTCACGGCGTGTCCATTCCACGAGATCGCAAAGTGTCTACACGCATGGACTTGCTCATCCAAAAGCTTGTACATTTCAC